ATGACTTCAGCGTCACTGTTTAACCCCTTCCTAGGTGCTGAGAACCTGTGCACCAAGCTGTCTGAGAAGCTCCAGTCCAAGACATCCAGCAAAGTCATTATCGCTCACATGCCTCTGCTCATTTGCTGCTTACAGGTGCTGCTCCCTGCCTGTATGATGATGGTTGCCATGGGCATGAGGAGAATGAAAGTGTGATGTATTACCCTGCGTGCTTGTAGTGAGCACGCAGTCCTAAGCTTTTGAGTGGCTCATTTCCTCACTTGATATTTTCTCACGCTTTGTGTGTATGTGGGGGAAAAAGATTGACTGCAACAATTAATTTTGTAACTGTCACAGATGGTTAAACTTTTGAACCAGGGACATGTTTCAGAGTTGTAGTTTGTTATAGTTGACATTAATGCTTGTCATAATTTGGCAGGTCTCAACAAATATCTATGATATGATATGAGATGTCTAAATTGGGTGTAATTTGGCTGTAGAGAGAGAAGTTTAACTGGAGAGGAATTTACTGGCAATTTCCTCTCACAGAACAATTTTTGTAATTGTTGTAGTTGTGTTAGATAAGAAATTAAGCTCTTTTGTAGTAAGTTCATGATGATGATGATGATGATGATGATGATGATGGTGGTGGCGATGTTCAGGGCCTGGGCCGGCTGTGTGAGCGCTTCCCCGTGGTGGCCCACTCTGTCACCATGTGCCTGCGTGACTTTCTGGTGGTACCCTCTCCTGTGCTAGTGAAGCTCTACAAGTACCACAGCCAGTACAGCACAGGTGAGGTGCATTCTGGGAAAATGGCTGTCAGACACATGGTAGCTGTTCATCCGTTTGTGGTTTTGGTGTCAATTATTGAGTTTATTATTATTATTATTATTATTATTATTATTATTATTTGGAACTTGATGAATATGCTTTCAAGTGGAACTAAACCTCAGACTCTTATTTGGCTGAATCTTTCTTCAGGCACTGGGGACATAAAGATAAGCATCACCAATGAGAATTCCCAGTCCACCTTGAACCTGCTTTCCAACAAGAAGGGCCAGCCCTCCATGTACGAGCAGCTGAGGGACATCTCCATTGACAACATCTGCAGGTAGCCTCTCTGATTCTTCTGGAGCGGACTTGGCTGTGTTGAAGCTTCTCTCTTGTATAGCAGCCTGATTCTTCGAGGAGAGGAGACATAATTTAGGTCTGTCTGCTCTGTTATGCTGCTTCTATGTTGGTCTTTCTCTTGCTGAAGCTACTGTTTCCTTCCCCAGGGGTCTGAAGGCGGGGCTTACTGCAGACCCGGTTACGGTGGAGGCCTTCCTGGCGGGCCTGTCCAATCGCCTCTACATATCCCAGGAGAATGATAAGTGAGCGTGACCGACAACCCCGTCCATCTGTCAGCTTCTGGTTCAGATGTTAATGGTGATCCTGATGGTGATCGTTTGCAGGGACGCCCACCTGATCCCGGACCACACTATCCGGGCTCTGGGCCACATTGCCGTGGCGCTACGGGAAACGCCTCGTGTGATGGAGCCCATCCTGCAGATCCTGCAGCAGAAGTTCTGCCAGCCACCATCACAGCTGGATGTGCTTATAGTGGATCAGTTGGGCTGCATGGTCATCACCGGCAATGTGGGTTCATCCCCCGTGTACATTTATATGCATCGACATGCTCACAGGAGGCCTACAGTCTGTTTGATATACTGCCCCCTATAGGATCATCATGCAGATTGTCATTTTATCAAATTTAACATCTAGATTTAATGTCTTTTTATAAAAGTGGTGAAATCACCTTAAATTTACTGCTCTTTGTTGTTCTTGAAAACATTTTTGAAGATTTAAATATTATGTAAACCTTATGGGGAAACTCGGTAAACCGGCATTTATTAGTTGTTCATTTTAATCCCCTCAGCAATACATCTACCAAGAGGTGTGGAACCTGTTCCAGCAGATAAGTGTGAAGGCCAGCTCCGTGGTCTACTCTGCCACCAAGGACTATAAGGACCACGGATACAGGTGATGCTTCACACCAACCCTTTAGAACTTTGACTTTTTGACATTAGAACAGCAGCATCATGAAATATAGGGATCTGGCTTTAATCATCCACACAACTCAGGTACTGTCTGATTGCTTTTCTGATTTGGGCCATTTTGTTAGTCAGTTTTTAAAATGTTTAAAATAAATTCATAAAAGTAATTAATCTGATCGTGTTTAATGCTTTGGTTTCATATGTTCGGACCCAAGAATTCTTTTGAATTTTTTAAAGTACATTTTTCTCTCATGTTTAAATGTCTTGCATATTTATCTTATTTATTGTTTCTTTGTGCTACAACCAATGAGATGAAAATTGTATCTCCACATATGACCCATGCAGCATATAGCTGAAGATGACAGTAACGATATCCTGACCTTGACAATGTGCTGGATGGAAGAGTGTGAGTCTGATCAGTCAGCAGTGCAGCTTCTGTTAAGGGATCCTGTGTGTGCTTTTTGGTTTTTGTGTTGATGTCTGAGCAGGCACTGCTCTCTGGCCGTGATTAACGCCCTGGCCAACATCGCCGCCAACCTCCAGGGAGAGCAGATGGTGGACGAGCTCCTGGTAAACCTGCTGGAGCTGTTTGTGCAGTTAGGCCTCGAGGGCAAGAGAGCCAGTGAGCGGGCCAGCGACAAGGGCCCTGCGCTCAAGGTAGGCCTCCGGTCAGATGCAGTGACGTTACTCACATGGTGTGTGATGGTGGGCATGGACTTACTCAAGCCCAGCGACAAGGACCCCACACTCAAGGCCCCCGGTCAGATACCATGACGTTACTCGCATGGTGTGTGATGGTGGGCATGGACTTACTCAAGCCCAGCGACAAGGACCCCACACTCAAGGCCCCCCGGTCAGATGCAGTGACGTTACTCACATGGTGTGTCATGAGGGCACAGAATTTTGACATGATACTGTACCAGTTTTCTCCAATGAATGGAAGTTTAATGAATAAAAGCTTCTCTCTTTAATCCCATCCCCTCTAAGTAGTCGGAAAATAATATTAACTAAGCACTGGTTTGTATGTGTGTTTAATCTTTATCAGCCTTTGATGTAGAAAGGCTGTGATAGGCAGCATGGTTTGTCTCTGGTCGGTAAGGATTCTGCCAGCCTGTATACGTATAAATCGTTGAATAGTTACTATATTGGTCCATGCTTATTGGGCATTCTAGGCTAATTACATGAATCATACTGGTCCTTTCACTGCTTTTCTTCCAGGCGTCCAGCAGTGCTGGGAATCTGGGTGTGCTCATTCCTGTAATAGCTGTGGTAAGACCACCGTGCCGCCGTGCTTTTGGCTGATAGCAGTGCTGCTTCCGGCTCTGGCTCACCCAGCGCTTCTGTGTGACTCCTAGCTGCATTTGAGAAGGTGGCCCATGCCGCCCTTTGCCACCAGTAACATTCGTAGGCGAGTCTGTGAGCTAAAGCCTGCTCTGCTGCTTACATGGAGCCTCTAATTTCAGCAGCTTCAGTCCATGAATCTGATGGATTTAAAGCATATCATTGCATTTTTATTCAAGGTTGTAATTTTAATATAAAATTTGTGAGCATTTAAGTGTTTTTTTCCATCACATGCTATTAATATTGGTCATAATGTTGAGTTAATATACAGTATATTAGAAGTGTTAAGAAAAGTACTATTGAAATATGAATTTAAATCCAGTGTTATAACCAAAAAAACCTACATCAGTCTCTTTATACAGTTTTTAAAATCCGTTAACTTTGTGCTTTTGGTTACTTTTTAACTATCGTAACAAATATTTACTCAGCCTTCATAATATGTGGACTCTCTGGACAGTCAATATAGGACTTAGTCAATAATGCCATGCTGGTGTCAACTTTTCAGG